AATCTTTTGTATAATTATGAGTGGGGAGGATTATATTGATGCATTTGAGAAGCTTCTAAGATTGGATTTGCAAGGAAAGCAGGTGGGTGCCATCTGATTTGGTTATTTATATACTCTCTTTTTTCTGTCATCTTCTATTGTCTTGAAAAATTAATTTTTCTATGTTCTATGTACAGGACAGAGAGATCATGCGAGTTATTGTGGAGTGCTGTTTGCAGGAGAAAGTGTTTAACAAGTATTACACCACCCTGGCTTCCAAATTCTGTGAGCATGACAAAAATCACAAGTTCACTTTACAGGTATTTTTTCTGTCCATTTCACAGTTAAGATAGCATATAATTGGGAATAAGGAAGATGTAGAAGGAAATTGATAGCGCTCCTGTTTAGTAATTCTGACTTATTCATAAGCCTATCACAATTTGATTGCCTTGCCAAGTATTTGTAATTTGTGTTCTATTTTACGTGGTCTTTATGTGACCAATTATTTTGGTTCTATTATCTGTAGTCTGTATGTCACTTAGCCTGCGTGTGGTATTGACCTTGCAAGGGTGAGTTTTGAATATTGCTTGTCAAGAAACTGATGTAGTGCGGATTGAGAACCTTATAACGTATCGTTGAGGGGTCCGGGTCGTAGAAGAAAACTTTATCTAAGGAGCAAAAGGGACTTGTTTTATATATTAAAAAAAACATGTGGTTGTTGGGACCTTCTGATAGCAGTGGAAAGCAACCTTTGAGGGCAGAGGTTGTGGAAACTATGTGAATAGGTTTTATTTGGGGAGCCAAGGGAAGAGAACTGAAGTTTAAAGAGCGGATCAAAATACGGGATTTGTGTAAGAACTGATTTAAATCTAAACTGTTTGAGACAAACTTTCACAACTGTTAACATGGGCAATCTCAAATGCATGTGGGCTCCACATCTAGTGCGTAATCATGGGAAAGAATATTTGTCAATGAGAATTGTAAGTAAGATTAGTTTAATGCTTTTCCTTTCTGAGTTCTCCTCTTTACTTGTCTAACAGGGTCACTCTCTACATGATTTGTGAGCACTTTTGTGGCTTATATGTAATTGTTGTGCATAAATGATTTGATGGTTAGTTCAAGTTGCATTGCCATTTTATTTCTGTTTCGTGTCACCATTTATGAGTTTTTATTTGATTTTAGAAACGTATCGATGATTGAAGCATTGAAGTAGTTGATATGTAGAGCTGCATTACTTTGTTTTGCAAATAGCAAAAACGCATATGTGGGCGCTAAAGTTCTAGAGTGGTCCACCAAGGGAAAGGAGAGTTCAAGCCTCGTGTCTCTCTTTTTCATTAGGAACCAAAATTGCGGATATGTCCTTGCAGTAAATGCTTAGTGAAAACTTTTTATTTAGACCTTAGATTGATTTTAATGTAAAATGCAGAATCCAGATTAAATATTAGCCTTCTATTATTTATAAAATTCTGAAAATTTCTGGTTTTTTAGCTTTCATCTTCTAATACTTCCTTTATCTGTTATTTCTCCACAGTTTTGCCTTTGGGACCATTTCAAAGATCTGGAGTCAATGCAGCTTACTAGGTCAATGCACCTAGCAAAGTTTGTAGCAGAGATGGTATCCTCTTTCACTCTCTCCCTTGCAGTGCTGAAGACAGTAGATCTAGCCGACATCAAGCAGCTAACAGCAAAAAGGATAATGCATTTCCGGATGCTTTTTGAGGCCATCTTTGAGTATCCTGATAGCCTAATTTGGAATATATTCACGCGTGTAGCTGTTTCCCCAGAGCTCGAAAGTCTTCGACATGGGATTGAATTTTTCGTCAAGTATATTGTGGAAACCAATAAAGCCCTCAAGGATAAGTATAAGCTTGCAAAGAAAGCCCTGAACAATGTTGAAGGAGTTCTCATGTGATTTCACTAATTACTCTCTGGCTCGACCAAATTTTGTAGTTTAGATTTTTGTTTGGTTACCCACTAAATTGGATGATAGCATGCACTTGTTTATTTACTCATTTATTCAAGTAAATATATGTGAATGAGGAAAGCATGCTTGTAAGGGAGGAACATACATGATGCTTGGTTTGCTTGTTCATTTATTTATTTTGCAAAGCTAACCACCTTCTGGATGTGTAGCGTCTTTAGCCGTTACTGTTATTTTTTGGGAAAAATTGCACAAGTGGCACACTTTTCCACTTTTTTGCAATTAGCGCCCGAACTAAATTTTCTTTCTAATCAGCTACTCGAACGGGCTGTTACAATACAAAATGGAAACAAAAATTGATATAGCAAAAATTAATACACATGTTTTACCTATAAAAAGGTATGGGACAGATGATTAGCAGGTAATTGAGCTTTATGTAGTTGTGATCCTAGTTAGCATTTTTCCGTTAAATACTCGTATTATACATGTACGTATGTATTTTTAATAGTACTTTTGTTTTTCATATACATCTTAAAGACTCCGTAAAATATACCTTTTTTTATAAGCAAACAAACAATTCATGTATTATACATGTATGTATGTATTTTTCACATTCAATACACATTTTTTACAAAATTTTGAATGATACAAACAAAATTCATGTATTATCTACGTATTTTTTACATATTGTTGAAATATATATAGCCGCACGGCTCTACTATTTTCTAAAAAAAAACAAAGTAGCCATATTGTGTGAAAATAGTATAGCCGCTCCGCTATACTATTTAAAAAAAAAAACAAAACTGAGTATAGCCCACCGGCTATACTATTTTTAATATATAAAAAAGGACCCCCCGGCCATTAGGCGCCACATATCAACACGTCTTTTAAAAAATTAAAAACATGGAGTATAGCCGTGCGGCTGTACCCCCTTTTTTAAATAAAGAAGAACCTCTATCGATTAAAGCCACGTGTCAAAAAAAAGGTATAGCCGCACAAATATACTATTTTTTTATAAAAAAATTCGTAGTATAGCAGAACGGCTATACTATTTAATTAAAAAATTAATAATAAAAAAGGACCCTCCTAGTTGCATTAGTTTGTACCTTATGGATATTAATTTGCAACATATCCAAAGTAGATATTAATCTTCCACTGTGTGATATTTTAATATAATTTTTATAAGATATGTTATTCTTATTCAATAATATGTGAGAATTATTTATCTAAAACATGAATTTTGTGTGTCATACTGAGAATTTTGTAGAAAATTAGTGTATAAAACATTAGAAATACCTACGTACATATACAATACGACTATTGTATGTTTGCTTTTTAAAGAAAACGTGAGACATGTATAGAACACGAATGTATTGTTGAAAAGTACGTACCTACATAAGTATATATATATATACCATTCAATTGAGTTATTGAAATTTTAGTACTTTCTTGAAACACCGTGTTCATTGATTTTATATGACATAATTGGATGTCGAAACGGTTTCCGATTTGTCTAATTTTTTGTAAGGATGATCTATGAATGAAGACCTAAAAAATAGATGATTTGGATCATTGAAAAAAAAATTGTAGGGTACCCTAAAAGGCGTCCCTCAAATAAAATTATTTGAGGGATCCCTCAATAGAAGGGGACTGTATATATATATTATATATATATATATATATAGACTATAGCCCACTCGTCTATACTATTTATTAAAGACAATTAAAAATAAACACCAGTAACGCCGCCTGGCTATACTTTTTTCTTTTAAAGAAAAAGAAAATAGGTATAGCCGTCTGTCTGAAAATAGTATAGTCGACCGGCTATACGATTTTTTTAATATAAAAAAAGACCCCCAGCCATTAGGCTCCATGTGTCAACACATGTGTTTAAGAAAACATGGAGTATAGCCGTCCGGCTGTACTTCCTTTTTTTTTTTTTTTCCTTTTTTTAATTAAAAAAATAGTAGTATCACCACATGGCTATGCTATTCAATTAAAAAATTAATAATAAAAAAGGACCCTCCTAGTTGCATTAGTTTTTACTGTATGGATATTAAGTTGCAACATATCCAAAGTAGATATTAAACTTCCATTATATGATATTTCAATATAATTTTTATAACATATGTTATTCTTATTCAATAATATGTGAGAATTATTTGTATAATACTTGAATTTTGTTTGTCTTAATGATAATTTTGTAGAAAATATGTATAGAAAACATTAGAAATACATACGTACATATACAATTCGACTATTGTATGTTTGCTTTTTAAAGAAAACGTGAGACGTGTATAGAAAATGAATGTATTGTTGAAAAATATGTACCTACATATGTGTGTATATATATGTATGTAAAAAAACTATAGCCACTCGTCTATACTATTTATTAAAGACAAATTTTTTATTTTTATTTTTTTTTTAAACCAGTAACACAGCCCGGCTACACTATTTTCTAAAGAGCAGCCCTTCTGTGTGAGAATAGTGTTGCTAAAAAAATTTCAAAACTGAGTATAGCCACCCGGCTATACTATTTTCTAAATAGCAGCCCTTCTGTGTGAGAATAGTGTAGCTAAAAAAATTTCAAAACTGAGTATAGCCGTTCGGCTATATTTGTCACTTGTAATATATTATTTTGTATTGTTGATATTATTTGTCACTTGTAATATATTATTTTGTATTGTTGATATTATTTTTCAAAACTGAGAAGCAATTATTTTCTTCTCTCTCTCTTCTTCACATCTTTTTATTTTTTTCATCTCTTTCTCTCTTCTTCACATCTTTGCTCAATTGGATAAATCGATGGCTTCTCTTCATTGCACCTCATCTTCCCAAATAGAAAATTGAGCCAATTGAACTAAAATTGTACCACTTCGGATTAGTTTAGTTACCTTACCACGTGTAAGTTTCGATTTTAACAGATAAATCAGACTGAAACAGACCATGCCCACCCCCTACCTTTTTTAGGACTTTCTATTACATTTTTCTTTTGGAAGAATTTTAATTGACAACAAATTTTAAAAATAGAATTAATTTTAGAGTAAAATGTCGATTATACCCTCACTCTCAGTTCATTGACAAATCACTGAACCCTTTTCCTGAAAAGCATAAAGAAGCCAGCTTTTTAATGGGCACAAAGGAGATTGAATTTGGGGTTAGGGTTTTGTTTGTGAGATAAAAAAAGAACAAAAATGGAGGGTTGGGACCCGAACACGAAGTCGACGCTAACCCAGATCCCACTGTTGACGACGAAGGCCGGGCCGAGAGATGGGGCGGCATGGACGCAGAGGCTGAAGGAGGAGTACAAGGCTTTGATCGCCTACACCCAGATGAACAAGTCCAACGATAACGATTGGTTCCGAATCTCCGCGGCCAATCCCGAGGGGACACGTTGGACCGGCAAGTGCTGGTACGTCCACAACCTCCTCAAGTACGAGTTCGATCTCCAGTTCGATATCCCTGTTACCTACCCAGCCACCGCACCTGAGCTCGAGCTCCCTGAGCTCGACGGCAAGACCCAAAAGGTCGGACCTTTTTCTGATTTTCCGATTTTTCCCCTTCCTCATTTTGTTTTGTTTTGTTTCTGTTTCTGAATTATGATTTTTTCGTCAATTGATGGGTGATTTGGATTGGTTCAGATGTATAGAGGGGGGAAGATCTGCTTGACAGTGCATTTCAAGCCGCTTTGGGCCAAGAACTGGTAATTTTGCTATTATTTAGTTGTTTTTAAATTTTGTATGTTAAATAATTGTATACTTTTTGTAGTATTTGGGTTTAGAAGAGATTTCAAAATCCGGTGTGTGCGAAAGTCTGATAATTTTCTGGCTTTGTGAACTCGGCGCTTAATTGGTTTGAGCAGTATGACGTAACTGAACAAACAAAATGCATAATTTGAATAATTCAATACATTAATCTCTTTTTGTGAAAGTAATTTAAGTGTTTCGATTTCGTAACAACTATATCTCTATTTGCCTTGCTTCGCTTCGTGGAAGAATAGTATTTGTATTTTGTTCTGTGGAAGGAAAGCAATTGTTTAAGTTACATTGGTGCACAAGCACAAGTAGGACAACATAGTTTATTGTTGTTTTTCAATTTGAAGTAAAATGAAAAACATTGATCTTTAAAACTTTTACATTATGGTAATTGCTTACCTAGAAATTTTAATCTTCCTTTAATCTAATACAAGTTACTTACTCAAATCACTTCTGGAAAGTATTAAAGCAAGCAAACACCATGACATTTTTACATCTTTCTTAATAACATTTTTTGGGGTTATCGGCTAGTAGTTCTTATGATCGTTCTTATGTCATGCAGTCCGAGGTTTGGTATAGCACATGCACTATGTTTGGGTCTTGCACCATGGCTTGCAGCAGAGATTCCCATTCTTGTGGATTCTGGTATGGTTAAGCACAAAGATGATGCTGCATCATCAACTGAATCTTAGTTCAATGTAATATTGACGCTGTAAGAGTAAACCTCGATGACGGAAAATAAGTGTCGAGCCATAAGTAGCAATTTACCGGAACCGAGGCATATATTTTATCTGCAGAGAAATACATTTTTGAGATCAAATACATACTCTTGAAGCCATTTTCATTTTTAGCTTTGAAATGCATACATGTACATTGTAAGATATGAATTCAGACCCCCTTTTTTTTCAGCTTCTTTTCAGTTGATATGTTCTCGTGCTTCTTGTTTTCTTGCAAAATTGTTTGTGTTCTATGGTTGAAGTGGTAACTCGTGATGCTCGAGTTAGGCTTCAATTATGCATTTGCACCTTGTTGCATCCAGAGACGAATTTGATGTCTCTTAAACGCCAAATTTTGTATGTGGGCTCAAAAGAATTGAGCTGAGAAGTGTATGTGACCAGATCTGGTTTCTTGGGTATAAATGCTCTTTTTTCAGCTTGAGTTTTTTGTATTGTAAATATTTCTCTGACAAAGACTTATCTAGTTCACTCACAACAATGCGCACCATTTTCAATTTGGAGGATCGATAGTATGTTAGATAAACTATCCAGGCATTGAAGTTGTTAATTCATGCAAGTCTTTTAGGCTTATGACATGTAAGTAGGAATCTGGAAACTTAGAAATAGGGAAAGTTGGAAATTGGAATTGGATCAACGACCTCATCCTAGTTGACCCATTTTGACTCGATCACAATTCCGTCCGATCATGATCCCAAATGGCTTCTTATGCTATGTACAATCAGCCATCAGTTCTTCAAAACTGCAAGAAAATAAAAGAAAAGAAAGAAGCACTGTTAGATTCTGAATAACAGCATCTGAAGCATAATTATTAGTCATGATATTCAACTACATTAGCATTACGAAATTACTTACCTAAGGATTTTGTGACGTGGACGCAATGGGTTGCCCCTGCGGCAATGCCGATGATTCAACATAGATATAAGGGACATGAGATATCTTCTCCCAGCCCTCGCCTTTTCCTCTCTCACAATGGTGCTCAAGATCAGGACAATCTCTGATGGACAGGTGTTGCAGTGCACTTAGACGTCCTAAACCTTCTGGCAACGATTTTATATTTGGACAGTCGGAGATTGCCAAGGATCGAAGTGAAACAAGATGCTCCACCCAGTTGGGCAGCTCCATGAGTTTCGGGCAGCTACGAAGTTCCAGGATTTGCAATTTCTTCAGGTGTTGGAGTCCCTCTGGCAGAGATGCGAGCTCTGGACAGCTTAAAATTGTCATGCTTCTAAGTTCCACAAGGCAATGGAAATTATCTGGCAGATGAACTAGGTTTGAACAAAACATGATTGTGAGGTTCTCAAGAGCTGTGAGGTGTTTCATCCCCATTGGCAAAGATGTTAAGCGGGGACAATTCTCAATTGAGAATGATCGAAGTGAGCACAAGCCTTCCATGCCCTCCTCTGGCAAACGGATTAAACTAGGACACTCAATAATATCCAAGTTCTCCAGTGAAGTGAGGCTTTTTAATCCATGTGGCAAAGTTTTCAGTTCGTCACACCATCCAATTTTCAGTGATTTCAGAGCAGCGAGGTTTGCCAGATTTTCAGGTATTGAGCCAAGCTTGGGGCAAGAGGTAACTGTTAATGACATCAAACGCGAATTGTTTTGCAACAATTTTTTTGGTAGAAAGAATAAGTCCTGAAAGAAGTCCATAACGAGGGTGGAGAGTGTGTTTAGCTCAGACGCTGACCTCACTATCAATTGGTTGCACTTTTGCAGTTCCAAATATTGGAGACATGGAAACCATGGCATAGTTATCAACAATGGACATTTTGTGATAATTAGTTTGTCCAGGCAAATAAATGCTTCTGCGGAATCCACACTGCTCCAAGTTTTCAATTCAGGAAGGTCTCTGAGGGTCAGTTCTTTCAGTGACGAGAATGGTCTGTCACCTTCACCTGAAAACTCAACACCAATGTTTACGACGGAATCCATTCCTTGGATGTTAAGGATCTTGAGGGCTGCAAGTTGCCCAAGCGTAGGAAGACTCTCACAGTTTTTGCAGTTAATTAAGTTCACCTGGGTGAGACTTTCAAGGCCAGACATATTCATCCAAATTGGAAAGGTTGCTCCTGAATAACCTTTTATGATCAACATTCTTATAGAGGGTTTTGGTTTAAAAGAATCCAATACGTCCTCTTCACATCTTTGATTGCGCAAGGGATTTTCTCTGCTGGATGTGTAACTAGCTGACTTACCCTCATCATCATTTCCCCATAACAGTTCCAATGAGTAGAAGTTTGTTGTTGCCATCCACATCTTAAGGTCAGAGGTATCGTGATGCCAAGCATTCTCCAGGTGTGTGATTTTTAACTTACCTCGGAGTTCTTTCAGTCTCAGAAGCTGCCTAAGGCCATCTTTGATATTGCCAACAATAAATACTGGCAAAGTCCGAAGTTGGCATAACTTTCCGATTGATGGGGGCATGTTAGCAAGTCTTGCACAATTATCTATGTTCAGATGTCTCAGATTTATCAACCTTGACGTACCACTTGGTAACTCCCTGAGCTCACTGCAACTTGAAAGATTCAGTGTCTGCAAATTGCAGAGATCACAGATTGTTTCTGGCATGGTCTCGATGAGAGTATAGGAGAGATTCAGATATCTTAAATGTATCAACCCCCCAATCGATCTGTGCAGTGTTTCAATGCCATATCCACTCAGATTTAGCACTCTGAGGTGCTTAAAAGTTGAGACTACTGCAGGAAGGACTTGTGCAGAATCCTCTCTTGGTGACAGTAAATTGAGGGTACGCAGTTTCTTTGCTTTACACAAGGCTTTCGGGATCAAACAAGAGCTAGGATTGTAAACAACTGATGCATGGCGTATCTTTGAGAAACCATCCGTTTGACTTTTTTGGCCATAAGAATGCACGTTGTCATGCCCCAGAGTCATAAATTCGTTTCCAACGACAGAGTTTGCAAGATCATGAATAAGGTCATGCATTTTAAACTCTGTGATAACTTCGTCATCAGATTTTCTTATGCCTTGAAAAAAGGACATCATCAATAAGTTGTTAAAATACTCGTTCCCAAGTTCCTCCAGAGGCCCTTGAGAATGAATTAAGTATCCCCCACTACAATCGAAGTCTTGTTGATCAGTATGAATTAAGTCTTGTGCTATCCATTGATGGATCAACTTTTCTTTATTAATCTCATAATTTTTAGGGAACACTGAACAATATGCAAAGCAAGGTTTCAGATGTGATGGCAAATGATTGTAACTCAACCTTAAGATGGCCAAAATTCTCTTCTCAGCTTCCTCAATAGTCCACAGCTCGCTTCTTTGCACATGTAACCACTCGCTTTCTTCTCTTTTAAACCGCAGTATGCTTCCAAGAATTTTGGCCACCAAGGGAACACCTTTGCACTTGTCCATTATTTGTTCACCAATGGTCAGTAGGCTCTGAAATTCATCTTCTCCTCCGTCTGCAAAGGCTCGTTGCTTGAACAAATTCCAACAATCATCTTTGCTCAGCGCTTCCAAATGGTAAGGGGGAAATGCACTAGTTATTGCTGCAACTGCCTCGCTCCTTGTGGTCAGTATACTTCTACTTCCATCTGGTGTGCCCTTCAGTGGATCAATTAGTTTATCCCATTCCTTCGTGACATAACCCAACATTTCATTGATGATCTTTTTTGGGTTGAAATTTTTATTGACGGATACCCACATTTCAAGTTCAAAATGCTTCCTGACCCTGGGATCATTATAGACTAACTGAGCAAGTGTTGTCTTCCCCATGCCTCCAAATCCAACAATCGGAATTACTGGGACTTGAGGACCACTTCCTGACAGTAACATCTCAACAATCTTCTCCACATCCTCATCTCTGCCAAAAACCTTAGATTCATCAACAAAGGGTCCGGTTTCGCGTCTCTCCATGGTATCTGACCGCTTATATGGCGAACATTGTTTGAATTGGAAGCAAGACATTTGCTTGGTGAGATCTTCCAGATCTTCCCGAATCTCCTTCAGCTTACGCGACATTTTAAAGTGAACTGGAATTGTTGCAAGCTTTAAGGTAGTCTTCTTTACCTTATATGTTGTCCGTTGTCGAATCTGTCTCAGTCTGAGACCAAACAACTCCTTGGTGTTTGGATATCGACCTAACTTTATAAATAGTTTGTGAATCGAGTCGACGGTATCGCCGTCGGTCACTTTCATTAACTGTCTACGCAGAAGGTGGGTGGAAATCTCATCCAACAGGTCGTCTGCATCGCAGGCCACTTCTTTGAGCTTCACCAGCCAACCTCTCACCTTCTTATCTTTCATCTGCTGCTCCTCTGCATCTTCTATCACGCCTTGAATAACTGGTAACATGTTCCCCAGCTTCTCCGTCTCCTTCTTGAAATCTCGGCGATTTTGCACTTCACCAGCAACAGAGGAAGTTAGCCTTCCAAACAGCAGCTCTAGAAGCGGAGCTACAATCACAGCTTCCATGGCAAGTCGTGAATGGACACAGCTCTTGAGATCAACAGGTGTGGATGAACAGTCAGTCACAGTTTAACCAACAGAGATGATAGTATACCACAACAAAATGATCACTATCTCAGTAGCTTCAGATCTTCTTTTGTTTTTGTGTAGGGTTTCAATAATGCTAGCTCTTTCATATATTCTTTTGTTTTTGTTTTTGTTTTTGAACGATTATTCTTTCTCACTCACCTCCTTTTTAGTTCAATATTTTAGCTCTATCATTTGCGGTTTAGAAAATAGGCTATTTTCTTAAGGCTTCCAGTCAAGTCAACAGTTGTTCTTCTCCCGCGTTGTTGTGGACCACGGGGCAATTGCCCTGCAAGACCTAGGAGCTTTCCAATTCCAACCCCTTTGGGTTTCTTCGAAATGAGTTGTTTAAATGTCCACATCAATTTTCCTCTATCTTCAAGCCACTCATCAGATTATAGTCCTTGATGCCAGTGGGGTGAGGGATAGCTTTTTCACCTCCACCAACGTGGACAGAGGTTCGAAACGCCAGGCACCCGAATATTTGTGTAAACTTTTTTCTCCAATCGCTTGTACTAAAACAAAAAAAGTCTAGCCCTCGATACCAAAATTCCCAAAATAAACATAAGTTCTTAGTTATTCAGTAACTTATATCCAATTACCAACATGAAATTTAGAGTCTCAAAGTAAAAACAATTTTGTTGGAATAAAACTGGTTGAAGTAGGAAGGAGGTTTAGGGTGCTCAGTAGCATTCAGTTTGGTACTCAACACACGACCAAAAGAGAACAGAGAAAACTTAATGACACTTTTCTTTCTTTACACAAAGTGATGAAGTTATTGGCTGATTATTGTAGCAATTTATACATAAAAACTTTGGGAAAGATTTAATCATTACACATCACATATGTAGGTTCATATTTCATTTCATTTTGTTTCACCTTCACCAATATTTCATTTCATTAAAAATTTGGACCCGCTGCAAGAATTTCCTCTGTGAGCTTGTTGTCCTTTCCAATCTTGTGATTCAAGAATACCTCAAAGTTCTTCTTGAACAGACCACCCAGCTGAAGCAGTGTGTCTTTGTAGGCTTTTTTGTCTGACCACTGCCATTGGAAAAATTCACTCAAACCTAGTTAATACAAATTAAATGCCAGCCAAAAATGTGTAGTAGCAATCAAATAAGAAGGAACCAAATAAAAATGATTGAACTGACAGTGTTTGTTGGATCCAGAATTTCTGAAGGTACACCCTCAATCTCAGTAGGGATCTCGAGACCAAATACTTCAGTCTTGGTGTAGCTTGCATTCAAAAGCGTCCCCGAGTGAATAGCATCAATAATCTTCCTGGTATAGGCTAATTTGATACGGTTACCTGTTCCATACCTGCAGAAAAACTAAATGTTAGATAATCAAAGTCCATCCGACTAGCTCTTAGTCTAGTGGTATTTCTCATTCCAACATTGGAAGATGTCCCAAGTTTGAATCCCCACCTCCCCTATTGATAAAAAGAAAATCGAAGAGCATCATCAAAAGCATCAGTATATTTCTGTTTCTATTAATTTCATACCTTCCTGCAGACCAGCCTGTATTAACAAGCCATCCAGTGGCGCCATGCTTCTGCATCTTTTCAGACAACATTGCTGCATACCTTGTGGGATGCATCATTATAAACGCTGCACCGAAGCATGCTGAGAATGTAGCTTGCGGCTCCTTAATACCATCCTCTGTTCCAGCCACCTGTTTTTGCATTTGGGAGTTCCATCAATAATATGCAATGCATGCAACTAGTAAATATTTCAAATGGAAAGAAGATTGGATAAGTACCAAAGCAGTGTAGCCGCTGATGAAATGGTACATAGTTTGTGCCAAGCTCAACTTGCTCACAGGTGGGAGCACACCAAATGCATCACATGCCAGAAGGATGACATTTTTCGGATGGGGGCCAACACATGGTATTTTCGCATTTGGTATGTATTCTATAGGATATGCTGCCCGAGTGTTCTCTGCAACAATTTTTGTCAAGGTCAAAACAAAAATCAGCAAGAAACAAAACATGGTTTTGTATATTAGTTGTACAGAAAAATGTTGTGTGTGAATTATGTTTCATGTCATTCTTTCTGTAAAATCTGATCTACTTATTGTTGATTGTGCTACGGATTGCTACAATAAATATCCACGAACAAACACCACAACATTTTCAAGTTTACTAAATGATAGTTTGCTTAAACACACAAAAAGTAATCAGTTTATTAAAAAATATGCAGGAACCTTACCAGTAACAGATTTTTCGGAGTAATCCACCTCTCGAGTATGCTCATCGAACACAATATTCTCCACAACTGCCAAACATATGCCATCGTAGTTGATAAGAATACAAATAGCAATTCAATCATGACACAAACCCGAAAAAATAACACTCATTTTGAAAGTAGAAAGTTGAGTTATGTCATGGTGTTACCAGTCCCAAATTTGATAGCATTCCAAATATCTGGCTCCTTGTCCTTTGACAAATCAATGCACTTGGCATAGCAACCACCTTCAATGTTTGACACACCATTGTTGCTCCAGCAGTGCTCATCATCTCCAATTAAATACCTATTATGATCTGTAGACAGAGTCGTCTTCCCAGTGCCTATGGCAAACATATGAATCATCAGTTGCAAAGATACAAAAGAAACTGGAACAAAGAATAAAGCAAAATCGGTTGGCTGGTGATTGATCACGGTGCATACAGCCATGAAAATGCAATAAAACTCTACCTGATAAGCCAAAGAAAAGGGCAACATCCCCATCTTTCCCCATATTGCAGCCGGAGTGTAGGGACAAGATTTGAAGCTTAGGCATGAGATAGTGCATGACACTGAACAGGCCTTTCTTCATTTCCCCAGCATACTGGGTGCCAAGGATGACCATTTCCCTCCTAGAAAGATTGAGGTCTACGCTAGTGGAGGAAGTCATGTAGTGGGTGTAACGGTTACACGGGAACTGCCCGGCATTGTAGATTGTGAAGTCCGGAGTACCAAATTCCAACAGCTCTTCAGGAGTAGGGCGGATGCACCTGTCACGTGCCAGCAGGTTATTGCATGGACACTAAGCTAAGAGCCTAATATGTTTAAGCTCATACACGCAGGAATATCAGCTTCATTACTTACATGTTATGCATAAAGAGGGAGTGGTAAGCTCTTGCGGATACAATCCGAACTTTGATTCGGTGTTCTGGATCCCAGTTGAGAAACTGATCATTCACATATACCTGAGTTCCAGAATTATCAGAACAGCGGTCACCACTCATTACAGATTAAATTGGAAGAAACAGAGAACTATCAAAATTCTTTTCTTATTTTTTATTAAAAGATTATTAAAATTCTTGATCCAATATTTATTTTGCTTCCTGACTTGCAAGAAAAGGCAGGATTGATCTTATATGGGTAATAAAAGCGATAGTCTAAACTACAAAGGCAAAGAGAAGTTTCTCATACATACACTACCAAAATAATATGGATATGAGATTACTAATCTACAAGTCAATGCCCTTACATGATTATAGCTTGTTGTCTCTTACTGAATAATTAATTTAAATACTTTACCAGCAAAACACTTGGACGTATAGTTTATTATGACAGGCGTGGAACGCTGTCACAAAGGACAAGAAAATGTCCACAAAGTTCTCTAGAAAAGTCAGACCCACCACTAAGGCTTAAAAATACTTAGGTCAACTTTTTCTTTATAATATCATGTAGCCCACGTCAAGTTCATGGAAAAAGCAAACAAAGTTGGTGGGAGGATATCATATTCTTCTTCTAGCATCATCAATCATCATGTACACCTTTGCACATCCCTTTGATTCAGGAATGGATAACAGGATAAGCATCCACCAAGCTAAACTTTGCAAACAGTCATTGCCAGCTGATTAACACGTTTGCTTCATGATGTTAGGCCCATTTTTAAGCAAACTAATTAAAATACGTATACCAGTTGTTTATCTAATTTATGAAATAGATGACCGAACTCAGGTGCATTGAGTGGACACACTATCTTGACTTACCGACTTAAACCACGTGTGAAAACTTGAATGAGAGATATATATCAACATGTGGTACGTACCTTGTCCAAGGAATTCAAGTAATCTACAGCTCTTTCTCTGTTCACTAAGAAAGTGTGCTCGTCCATTTCAATGTTGGGTGAGCCCCTAATTAAGATTAACGAAAATGTATAGCTTAATCAACTTAAGGGAACATATGTTCAACTGGGCATCAAGTCAAATCACTACTAGAAAAAGGACCAAAAGTCACGGATATAATGGCCACAAAAAGAAGGTAGCAGTAGCAGTAGAAAAGCACTTACTTTCCCCACCAAAGCTCATTTTCGGTTTCTTCATCTTTCACCACTCGTTTGTCTCTCGGTGAACGACCAGTCTTTGCTCCAGACAATGTGGCCAAGGCACCAGTTGCTGTTATAAAAGAACCTTTCTCGTACTTGATAGCCTGCTCGTACAATTCTGTAAAATAACTCTATTTTTTAATCAAATTTTGGATATATTTAAACCCAATTCCATTAATTCAAATAAAAACAGAGGTTTTGTCAAATTATCTTTCATCCAGTACTCTATATTTTTGTCATCAATTATTATGACCTATAGTCGTTTCAAACTACTTTATTCTTACTTATAGTCCATATACTATTTTTCTCTTGGCAAATTTCGATGACTAGGATTCAACTAAGAAAATACGTAAGCAAACTTATGGTATGTTTACTTATCAGCAGTGGGTATTAGAATGATTCTAATTCCTTACTTTCCCATGCGTTTACTTATGGGTAGTTTCATGGTAAAATCTGTAATTAAATGCCCTTCAAACTAGAAATCAAATCAACTAGGGAGAGTAGTTTATCCAATTTCAGTTCCTTATTCCCAAATTCTTAAGTTACCTGATTCATGACTCCGTAAGTAAACATGCTTATGCGTAAATGTTATTTTATTTTTCAAATTCTTAAAATACCCCTAATTTGATATGCTTTATAGGCTGTATTGTATTTTGATTGTCTTATTTATTGTGCTGAATTTGTTTAACATATTGTTTGTCATCAATTTTGCATAGATGTTGAGTCAATTGTTTTCCTTTTTTTAACAAATTTGGGTCACTTTTTTCTCCTCCTTTTATCAAATTGTTTTAAATTTCAAATTGATGGATCAGTTTTTTTCCTTTTATTCTTACCAGTCTAGAATACTTCATAAATATTAGAAGAAAATAGTAAATTACTGTGATGAATGGCATGTAATTGAAAAATTACCAGCAGGAGAGAGATTGTAGAGGATGTGGGTAAACTTGAGGGCGCTATCACTGACGCCAAAGAGGGAAGCGTCGTACAGATGATGCTCCACATGCGTCGCCTTCTGGCCCTCCGATTTACTCGCTGGGTCCCCCTTCACCACCTTGGGCCCCGTCTCCCTCGTCAGCGACGCCAAAGACGCACTACAGCATCACAAACAACCAAACCCACGTTAACATTAAAAACGCACCGTTTCGATCTCAGCATTCTAACTTACTATGCACGCGCGCGTACGTACCTGATCGACTGCAGCTGCTGCTTCTGCCGGTCCTCTTCAGAAATGGCGGCAAAAGCTCCCTGCGTCCCGTTGATGGGCGTGGTGGGCTGCGACGACTTCTTCTTCTGAAGCGAATGAAGCTCGTCGATGGTCTTCGCCTTCACAGGCGTCCCGCTGTCGTCGTGACAAACCTCCGACGTGGCCTCATGGTGAGTTTGGATCTTCGGTAGCCCCTGGCGTCCCATGCTTCCTGTCCTCGTGAAGCGAAACCCTCCATTTTCTGCTCCCTTGTTCTGAGCCATGTTTGATCAAGTCCCTGCAAATAACACATATTAAACATGCATATTAGCACATGAACCAATGCAAATCATAAACAAGTTGTTATGTCGAAAACAATGATTGGTTGATACCGGATATCAATCGTAACCCTAATTTTATTGATCAAATTTGCGAATGTCTCTGTAGATTGATACCCGTAACCAGATAATATTTACCCTTTTATCTTTTTATATGTGAAGGATATGGTAACAAAGAAAGACAACCTTGGACTAGAAATTGTGAGAGAAGCCAACAAGAAAAAGCTTGTGAGTGTCAACGTGAGGATGAAAGAGAGCTGGAGAATATGAGAGACTTGAAAATGATCTATATAAAAAGGCTTTGAGTAGTCCCGGGATTCATGATTTATGGATTAACTTGGGTTAGTTTTGCTTAACCATGGTTGAGACTCCCATAAAACTAAAAGAAAGAGACATGTCAGCAAGAATCATAATCGGGAGAGGAAGAAATTTCCAAAACGGAAATTAAATGTGAAACGCTTGCGATATGGGCGAGCGGGTCAAGTTGTGACAAAAGTGGCACGCGTTTTCTATTGTTGCAGTTGTTGGGCAAGGATAAGAACGTAACCGCTGTTACACCTGTATCTGTTCATGCATTATTATGATGCATCTCTATCTTGTGCAGCTAAATTGGGCTTTGCTCAATACTTGATTTTTTGCCAATTGAGCACCATAGAATGTGACCAAAGTTATTGCACTAAAGCCTAAAGGCTCCTTTACTTGTGTTGGGTGGGGTGATTTCAGATGGTTGACATATGGTCAAAGTGGCTTCTACAGGGTCCGTAAGTATCGGTGTGGTACTAGCCTAGCCCTCTCCGATACCAAAGTCGTAATGAAAACCAGGAACGTATCTATGAACATGTTTTGAGTAGAAGAAGATACTCCTTTTGTCGCGCGCATAATTACATATTGATCTAATCACAAGTTTCAGGTGACAAAGAATTACCCGTGACGTATCACAAGATCACTCTCTATAGTTTTCTGTTTCTTTTCTTGTTTTTCCAAATAATCACAGGGCTGCTCTAGTTTTGGGCTCATCCTCATCTCTTTTTCTTTTCTTTTTGCCCATCTTTTTGTGTCTTAATTTTCAGATGGTTCATGTCCTTGTCATGAGCGCACTGACGTCATGAGGAATAGTAATGGCGAAGAAAGCAACCTCAGACCTTAAACTTAGATGAAAATTGCAAGATGTCCACACTCAAAGTTCCGACTAAAAATCAGGGTCCAAATCCAAACAGAGATTCTCAATGGGCTATATTCTTGCATCAGTCCAACAGAGAGTTTGGATGGGATAGGGCTATTCTTCTTTTGTTACAATGGAGGACCAAGCCCTAATTGAGAGGCTACAAATAGTAGAGGGGCCTCATCAAGAGTTTGGCAACCCGAACCACTGCATCCTAGGAAGTCAGCCATTGAAGTATTTTCCACCTTTTGTTTGTTTAAACCTTATTTTTTTCTGTTGAATTTAAGTCTGCAATTATAACATATTTGATTGGGATAGAATCGGACTGATTTCAACTTGCGGGATTTTTTTTTATTTTTAATACAAACGATTTTGGAAAAATGGAGAGTCGAACGCGGAATCTTGAGTGTATGGATAACTACTTGAACTACAAGCCATTTACTGCCGAACTTCTTAACATAACTTAACTTGCAATGCTAGTATGATTTTATTTGTAGACAACGAAAGGATTAATTTTTCATCACACACTTAGACACATAGAGGTAGAAGACTTGAATAACACATGGCTTTGATTTCATGTTAAAATTGGACGATCTAACTCAAAACCAATTGGCAAAATGTTTTAAAAACTAATGAAAAGTTTCCATTCCTCCAGCGTGGAATAATATACTCTCAGCAGCACTATAAGCTAGACAAAGGTAGATGATGACTATTGTTTTGGTCAGGCTTGTTATGATCAGATTATACACTCGAACCCTTCATTGCTTAACCCGAAAAATATTGTGGTCCATCTTAATCACATTCGATTCTCTATTCTTAAGGAGGAGAGAGATTGGCCAATTGTGCATAGAACTTCTAAAATCGTGCGTGCCTTTGTATTCACTTTGAAGATATGCAGAGTTTTTAACACCAATGTCCTTATTGGTGGGAAAGTAGCCTTTTGCACTAAAATCAACCCCTTTTCTTGAAGTGTGTTGTTAAAAAATACAGATACAGATACCAAGTTTGTATCAAGTTGTACTGTTATCTTGGAAAGCACCCAAGATCATGTTCTAAAACTAGAATGAAGATGAATTCAAGCTAGGGATTTTCCTCTTCTTCATTTTGGTGATGAAAACATGAGAACTGTGGAGCACGAGTCGGATTAGCTGATCGACATGTGTTTTAGCTTGCATTTTTTGTTTCGTAAAACACAATGCAGATATGCAAATGGCTGAAATGAAATTCAAGCTAGGCAGAGAGGCTGTCCCCATTTGGAAAAACCCTATTAATTCTTCATTATGTTGACAAAAACATTACGGCAAGATTGTCGGATTAGATCTTTTAAGTCAGGCTTTGGAAGAATACAGTTCACATTTTATTCCTCCTAAAGTACTTCTGTGCAATATTGCTCATAGGTTTGGTACTTTATTAGTTTTGTTCTGTATAGTTTATTATTAATCGTCACTATTTTTCTATCACGTTGATTAATATTCTACAACGGAATGCAATGTTCAATCACTCGCGACCAATGACGTTAAGTAACTTGAAATAAAAAACAAAGGGAGAACTAGAGGGTTTTACACGCATTTAAAGTATTCATTTTGAATTATTGTCCACGCAAAATACACGATCATGGTACTTTTTTAAAAGAAATTTATTTTCTCAATTTCAGATGGAATATAGACTTTTGAATATGTTAGTGCACATCGAAAAACCTATCCACATTTTTTTATTTTTTTGATATAAACGATATTGGGAGAGGGGGATCAAATCTAAAACCTCAGATGCATGGGTAAATTCTCAGGCACATACTAATTTCTAGTTTTTTTTTTTTTTTTTTCCTCTCAAAGATATAGCTCAAATGCTCCTTTTTTTTTTTTACTTAAAAAATCTGGACAATATCGGGGTTGCAAATTTGTCAAAGAATCCATATAATATCAGGCCAAAAAAGAGAATAAAAATATTTTGCTGCTAGAGGTAAACATGTCCAAATTGCAATCGCATGATATTACAGAAGAGCATATAAATGATAGAATGGTAGAAAAAGTCACACGTAGTGATTAAATTATGAAAACCACAAAGTTGCATATCCAAAAGTGTGAGCATATTTGTTCTCCACGTACGACTTTGTAATCAAAGTTGTGGCAAACAGAGGCCTGAAATCTCACAAACCAATCTCTTTCACATATCTTCACACCCCACCTCTTCCTACCTTATCCCTTTCTTGTATGTTGGATATCTTTCATCTTTTTTAGGGTTTCATTTCCATGCTTGCTGCGGCCTGCTGTGGCCCTAGTCTCTTCCTGGCCGTTGGATTCTCTTGTGCTGATCACAGCACTATATAATCCAACGGATGGCTAGCTGTGCTAAATTCTTCATATTGTTTTTGAAAAAGGGCATCATGCAAATCAGTGTGAAAGAATCAGTGGAACATTTTTAGTTTGATACCCATTTTTGGTTTTAGCAGAAGTTAGTTTGTTAGTATACTAGCATTTGGAGAATGCCTATTGATTAAGACCATATCTATGCAGAACATGCGTGATAACACGGGATAACACTATTTTGTTATACTCAATTAATCACGTTATATGCGTGATAATTGTCTCACATAATAAAATATGATTGGTTGGGAGTAACAAAATAGTACTATCCCCGTAACATGCAAGCTCTTCCCATTCATAAAATGTCATTTTAAAGAAAACAGTGAGATAATCACAACTCAATACTTTACGTTAATAAAAGTATCTTCTTTGCATTTTTAAGTTTAGTTGCTAGTGAAATTCTTATTTGACTACAAAAATAAAAACTGAACAATTTAAACCATTTAATAACATAACATTGGATTGTCCCACACAATTAACCATTCCATTTACAACAAAAACAAAATACTAGAAAAAAAAAACCACATATATATTTTTGTTGCCATCAAAATCTAATGATTTTCAAATCCCAATGTAGGGCCCATGGAAGATGAAGAGAGTGTGGATAAAACGTGTGTTCCATCCGCCAATCAGAACCCAAAGAAATCCCAAACACCCCACCCTCCCAAAATCCCCAAATCATATCCCAATTGTCATCAACTCCTCAGAGTCTCAAAAAGACTCACAGAGAACGAGAGGGGGTCAATTCTTTCGTACCCACCAAAACACCCTCCAACTTTTCCCACTTTTTCCAAAAACCCAAAAAGAAAAAAAAAATAAAACCAAACCCAACGGCCAGTTTTCGTTGAGCAGCCCCATTAGCGCACAGCCCATTCCTCTATTCTCTTCTCTTCTTCAATTCTGAGGGTTTTTTTGGAAACGCCCTGTCGTTTGGGTTAATGGCGGTGTCGACCAGTTTCGCCGGAGCAAAATTAGAGGCTCTGTTGTTGAAATCTTCTTCGTCGGCAGCGACAACGTCGTCGAGGGCCTCCAATGGTTCTTGCTCGTTGTCCGGGTCTTTGAGACCCGTCAGGAGCAGAAGGGCTGTGATTCAGAGGGGAGTGAGGTGCGAAGTGGCTGCTTCTGATGCTGCTGTCCAGACCGGTCAGAGTGTTTCCAATATTTCGGCTCTTGAGCAGCTCAAGACCTCTGCTGCTGATAGTACGTTTCTATTTTCCCATTAATACCTTCTACTTTATTTGTTTTTCTTTTCAATTTATGAACTTTTTGGTAGATTCTTTGATGGGTTTGTGCTGGAATTGGATTTTCTGCTTGCAATTGTTGGTTTGGTTAATGCATATTGCATATTGCAATTGTTGGTTTGGATTTTCTGATTGATTTTGTACATTGCATTTTAATTTTTAAGTTACTGTCACTTTTTGAATGAGTGAATAAATATAAACCACAATATATCTGTTTGAATTTTCGTAGAGTTTCTGGGTTTTAGAATTGCTGGATAAGAAAGTGCAGTTTGGGATTTTTCTATTTGGCCTAAGTATCTTTATGGTATGAAATTTAGAGTATAACAGAAAACACAGCCGATACTATCTTTCCCATCCAGAGTTGGTCTTGTATAACATATGTATTGATGGTTCAAGTGGACTTCCACTGTTTCATAAGTTAGAGATATATTGTCATTTACCCCATCCCTGGTCTGTTCAGAAGCTTTTTATGACACTTGTTTGATTGCATTTAGAGGATAATCTTCACTTTTTAAACCCCATGGCAAATTTGTTGCCAGCATTCACTAGAACATAAAATTAGGTTTAATTACATTTGTGCAACCCACCAGTTTGTGAATTCATAATTCAAGGTTGTTTAACAATGCGTATGTTCTTTTGGATATTGAAATTATTTGTATAATATTGTCTGACTGAAATTTCTAAAACTAATCTTCTCAGGATATACAAAGGAAAGAAGCAGCATTGTGGTCATTGGGCTTAGTATTCACACAACACCTGTTGAAATGCGTGAAAAACTAGCCATCCCAGAAGCAGAATGGCCTCGAGCCATAGGGGAGCTGTGTGGCTTAAATCATATAGAAGAAGCTGCTGTTCTCAGCACCTGCAACCGAATGGAGATATATGTTGTTGCTCTATCTCAGCATCGTGGTGTCAAAGAAGTGACTGAGTGGATGTCAAAGGTACTCGTCTTCTCTTTATAATGTGTTTCTGGGACAATAGGGTAATGGATCTTATGAGGGACTCTTTTGCATGTGTTTCTTGACATGGATCAATCATTGTATTTTACATTTGAGCAATTAATTTCTTTTCCTTTGAAAGAAGAATTACACTCTTTTCATGTGTAGTTTACATTTGACCTTGTATGCTCTTTACTTTCACCTGCTTATTAAAAAAGTATCCTGAATTGATCATGATCATTTCTTGATCTAAAACATTCTATTTGCTTTTATTTGCAGACAAGTGGGGTCCCTGTTTCTGAGCTATGCCAGCACCGATTTTTGCTCTATAATAAAGATGCCACACAGCATCTCTTTGAAGTATCAGCAGGTCTTGACTCTCTTGTCCTGGGAGAAGGTCAAATTCTTGCTCAGGTGAAACAAGTTGTTAAAGTTGGGCAAGGAATTGTTGGCTTCGGCAGGAACATTAGTGGGCTGTTCAAGCATGCAATCACCGTAGGAAAGCGGGTTAGAACTGAGACTAACATTGCTGCTGGGGCAGTTTCTGTAAGCTCTGCTGCTGTTGAACTTGCCTTGATGAAGCTTCCTGCATCCTCACATGCTAGTGCGAGAATGTTGGTGATTGGTGCTGGGAAGATGGGGAAGCTTGTGATCAAACACTTGGTGGCAAAAGGTTGCACAAAGATGGTGGTTGTGAATAGAACAGAGGAGAGAGTGACTGCAGTCCGTGAGGAGTTGAATGGTGTTGAGATAATCTACAAGCCTCTCACAGAAATGCTTACCTGTGCAGCTGAGGCAGATGTGATTTTTACAAGCACGGCATCAGAAACCCCATTATTTTTCAAAGAGGATGTAAAGGACCTTCCTGTTGTGGGTCCAGAGACTGGCGGTTCGAGGTTTTTTGTTGATATTTCTGTCCCTAGGAATGTGGGCTCATGTGTCGCTGATGTTGATGGTGTGCGAGTTTACAATGTTGATGACCTTAAGGAGGTTGTGGCTGCTAACAAAGAGGATCGCCACCGGAAAGCAGTGGAAGCTCAGGAAATTATTACTGAAGAATCAAAACAATTTGAAGCATGGAGGGATTCATTGGAGACAGTCCCTACCATCAAGAAATTAAGAGCTTATGCTGAAAGAATCAGAGCTGCAGAGCTTGAGAAATGTTTATCAAAAATGGGTGATGACATCTCAAAGAAAACTAGAAGAGCTGTCGATGATCTTAGCCGAGGTATTGTGAACAAGCTCCTTCATGGTCCAATGCAGCACTTAAGATGCGATGGGAGTGATAGCCGAACTCTGAGTGAAACCCTTGAGAATATGCATGCTCTTAATAGAATGTTCAGTCTTGAGACAGAAATTTCGGTCTTGGAACAGAAGATTCGAGCTAAGGTGGAACAAACCCAGAAGTAAGCTCGATGTCAAATTTCTTCCATGATACATCTACTTCCTCAAATTTGAATAAGGGGAAAACATCCTCACAGTCATTTTAGTGTTCGCTCTGGTGTAATCTTCAACTCCATATATAAACAGTGTTGGTCCCGGCTTGGGGATCTTCCAATTCATTCTTTGGTGTAAACCACTTTAACCTGATTCTTATCTGGGAGTTCTGAAATATGTCTACCACATGTTCCTAAGTGGCTGTTCGGCTTTGTATCGAAATAATGAGGTGAAATTATTCATGTTGGTACGATTGTCGTATTGTTTATGGTGTGTCGTCTGTGTCTGTAATACTGTTAATTCTTGTAATTAAAGGATATTTGCATATTTGAGATGAATAAATTGTAATTGATCATTTTTGTTGAGATTTTTGCTTTCTTTTGTAGATGTGGTTTCGTTCTGTGTAACGTGCTAAGAAACACATCAAAGATTTTCATAACTTGTTGTCTTGCATATGTGAAAGTAATATATGTAGCATACAAAACAACAAAGAAGTTTTACGCGATGATATATATACAATACAAGTAGGTTGAACTTTTCTGAGCATCCATGACTTCACATTAATAAGAAATAACTGCTCAAGTTCAATAGTAAACTGCCAAGAACGCTCCAAAACCCGAAGAGAAATCCTAGTCCCAAGCTCAGATAGAACCAAACGTCTTCAAACAAATTACTTTGAATTGACCGGTTGAATTGTCGCAGACAACTCCAAACCAACTGCAACAATCTCCTTCACCAGCCCAGGACAGAAAGCCGATTTGAAGGATCTTCAAGATCGTGCTTGAACACCAAAAGACCTTCGCGCACTTGGATTTCCAATGCATAAGCAAATGGTAAACAAGGTTGCAATGCAGAAAAAACCAAACAAGCAATACACTAGCTATTTTGCACTCAGATTTTCAAGTTGCTGACAGAGTAAGTAACACAAGCAATACACTAGTTATTTGTGAAGGGAATAATCACAAGCAATATTGCTCAGTTTTCCATAAAAAGAAATCAAAGATCATCATTGGTGGTGAAATGCTTTCCAGTTCATGGAGTGTTTCACATGCAGTACTTCCTTAAACTGCAAATCCTTTTTCAACTTGTATTTCTATGCGTGGCCTCAAAATGAAAAAAAACAATGGGGATGTCAAAATGTCATGCTCAGATATTATTTCGGCTATTAGTAGACAATGACCAAACGTCCTTGGGTTAATGACTCAGAAGAATTAAGTTAGATTGGACCTAAAATTTAATTATGGCTTGAATTTTAAAAAGCATATGCATGCATGCAAGAATATGCAAGCACCCCATGAACTGGCAGGCATTTTCTTTCGTTTTGGATTTTTTGGGTTTTTTTTTAAAATTTTTATAATAGTGATGGTTTCGTTGCTTGCTTGGTTTGGTAATTGGCAAATGGAAATTTTTCTTGTTTTCTATTCTGTAGAGTTCATTATTAGTATTTTGTTTTGTCAGAACTCTTTGGGTAGAGTTGGGGATTAGATTTTTGTGCAGGGCTGGTCCTAAGATTCCAACTCAACTAGATACACACTTGTGTTACTTTCCTGCACACTTAATTATATATATAATACTTATAATAGTAATATACATAATATACATATAAAAAAAATTAAGTATCTGTTTGGGCCAAAAATTGACACACCCAGCCCAGCGAAAATTAGGCCCAGAATAAAGCTGCAAAAAATCAAAGAAAGATGGAAGCCCAAAAAACCAGAAGAGACCAGCCCAAGGCTCATCAGAGCAAACAAGGCTAATCTGGGCCTCACAGGCCCAA